TGCTGGACCCCTTCGTCAGGCATGTGATAAACGTGTACGTCAGTGCAACAGCAGTATTCAAACTACTCTCCACCAATCAAAGAACAGAAAAAAAGTGACACCCCCTACCTACTGATGTCATATGACGTCAGAATCCCGCCAAAACCACTTAGAAAAAGAAGGGTTAATCTGTATAAATAGGCATAAATTTATTGTGGCAAAAACGTATGTGGAGCCTAGCCAAGTCACACATGTATGGGAAAAGTCTGTACAAGTAGGTGGCATAGCGGTAATCAGGCACATTTGTGCCGATCTGCTAAAATAAAAATTCTAGCAATACACACCAAACTGCACATGTGCAGCTTGCCCCTAGCCTTTGTTCTATCGGGAGATATTTGGGAGACACTGGAAGAAGGGGAGATCAGAGAAGAGATGATCAAACATCCTTTTTACACAGTGTGGAGGATTAACCCATTAGGTTCCACAGTGAGTATAACAAGTATGGTTTACTGCATATACAGACTGATTTGACTGTTGTGGATTTAGTAACAATTTAATGCTAATTAACAGGAAGCAGTTATGACAAAAGAGACTAATATGTGGCAGAGGATTTTCAGCATTTTCTCTGCCACAAAAACAAATGTTTATCAACCTTCTGGGTTACACTTGCAGCAGTGCTTCTGTGGCCTCTATCCTCAGACCCTTGTTTTTCTACCCCAGACTGTCCTCACAAACTCAACGCATGCACCCAGCAGCTCCCTGTTGCCCTGGCTCTCACCTGTTCCCTAGGTGGAGCTCTCCTGAGACCTCCTTTGTCCACTGGGATGGAACCTTAAACACTAGTTGGCTCTCTGTGTGCTGGTTGTTCATAAAACCTGGACCCTGGATTGGACACTTAATTGCTTACAAATTTCAGTGAAATCTTCAGGGTCCAAATCAGGTTTTGTCAGTCTGAGGAAATGAAAAACCAGTTTCCTCTGTATGACACTAGCACCCTGGAACCCCTCAACCTTTCTGAATGAGAACCCTCAATGGCCCAAAATCTTTTTTACATAGAGCAGAGCCTATCACTGTCACATTAGCTTGTTAATGAAATGAGGAACATACTAAGGTACACTATATTGCCAAAAGTATTGGGACGCCTGTCTTTACACGCACATGAAATTTAATGGAATCCCAGTCCATAGGGTTCATTATTGAGTTGGCCCACCCTTTGCAGCTATAACAGCTTCAACTCTTCTGGGAAGGCTGTCCACAAAGTTTAGGAGTGTGTCTATGGGAATGTGTGACCATTCTTCCAGAAGTGCATTTATGAGGTCAGGCACTGATGTCAGACAAGGAGGTCTGGCTTGCAGTCTCCACTATAATTCATCCCAAAGATGTTCTGTCGGGTTGAGGTCAGGACTCTGTGCATGCCAGTCAAGTTCCTCCACCTCAAACTCACTCATCCATGTTTTTATGGACCTTATGTTGTGCACTGGTGTGCTGGAATGAAGGGGCCAAGCTCAGCCCCTGAAAAACAACACCATAATCCCCCCTCCACCAAATGTTACAGTTGGCACAATGCAGTCAGGCAAGTACTGTTCTCCTGGCAACCACCAAATTCAGACATGTCCATCGGATTGCCAGACAGAGAACCGTGATTCGTCACTGTAGAGAACATGTCTCCACTGCTCTAGAGTCCAGTGGCGGTGTGCTTTACACCACTGCATTCAACGCTTTGCATTGCAGTTGGTGATGTAAGGCTTGGATACAGAAGCTCAGCCATGGAAACCCATTACATGAATCTGTCTATGCATTGTTATACTAATCTGGCTGAGTTGTTGTTGTTCCCAGTTGCTTCCACTTTGTTATAATACCACTAACAGTTGACCGTGGAATATTTAGTAGCAAGGAATTTCATGGATGGACTTATTGCACAGGTGGCAACCTATCGCAGTACCACGTTTGAATCCACTGAGCTCCTGAGAGCGACCCGTTCTTTCACAAATGTTTGTAGAAGCAGTCTGCATGCCTAGGTGCTTGATTTTATACACCTGTGGCCATGGAGGGGTTTGTAACACCTGAATCCAATGATTTAGATTCCAATACTTTTGGCAATATAGTGTGTGTCAGAAAGAAAGTACACTACACTTGTTCTTGCAACACATTTCTCTGTTATAGGTGCATCATTTGGACCTTAACCAATTTAATACCGAGCAATTTTACACCTTCCTGCCCAGGCCAGTTTTCAGGTTTTAGCGCTCTCACACTTTGAATGACAATTGCGCGGTCATACAACATTGTACCCAAACTAAAATTTTATCATTTTCTTCACACAACTAGAGCTTTCTTTTGGTGGTATTTAATCACCGCTGGGGTTTTTATTTTTTGCTAAATTAACAAAAAAAGGCCAAAAATTTTGAAAAAAAACACACGTTTTTCTTTGTTTCTGTTATAAAAGTTTGCAAATAAATAATTGTTCTTCATAAATTTAGGCCAAGATGTATTCTGCTACGTCTTTGGTGAAAATAACCCAAATTAGGATGTATTTTTTTAGTTTGTAGGAAAGTTATAGAGTTCACAAACTATGGTATAGATCTGAATATTGATCAATCCTGAAGTACTGACAGCCAATCTAATTTCTTGAGGTCCAAGAATGTCAGAACAGTACAGATATCCCCCAAATGACCCCTTTTTGTAAAGTAGACAGTCCGACGTACTTCATAAGAGGCATGGCGAGTTTTTTGAAGTTGTATTTTTTTTGTCATAATTTTTCGGGAAATGAAAAAATTAAACAAATTAGTTTCACTATTTATTTTTTACATATTGTCACCAGTGCAGTACAGCGTCGTCATATAACTGGCATGGCGGTGATCAGGGACACTGACTGGTGACAGTAAGACAAAAAAAAAAAAAAAAAAAAAATAAATATATATATATATATATATATATATATATATATATATATATATATATATATATATATATATAATTTTTTATTATTTTTAATTTTTTATTACATTTTTTTTCTTTTTTTTAAGATTTTTTTTTCCATATTTCACTATGACCAAAGTAGTACAATGTTGCCATAGTAACATTGTACTACTTTGGGGAAGTGATCAGTATTTTTATTTTTTTTTACACAATTTGCTTATAGCAAAGAATTACTTTGCTATAAGCAAGCATTTACCTGAATGACATCGATTCATTCAGGGGTTTTTTTTTTTTTTTTGTGCTTAGCTGTGATTTGGCCACAGCTAATCACATGACATGTGCATGTGATTAGCTGTGACCATTCACAGCTAGACGCTAGTATACAATGGATGGCATGAATGAAGCCATCCATTGTATACAACTGTCATGTGACCTGCTGTGATTGCGCACAGCAGGTCATATGGTACTGGCAACTGGGGCCCGATACTCAGATCTGTCTTCGGCCGTGTCCGAGGTACACGGCCAGTGACAGATCACGCCGCTGCGTGGCTCTGCAGGAGCGCAATTTGCGCATTTGCGGGAGGACGCCATATGGTGTCCACCCGGAACGCTGATGACATTTGCCGGCTGCCATTCGGCTATAGGGCGGGCGGCAAATGGTTAAACATGTCATATACAAGCCTCATAACTAACAAAAAAAAAAAACTACAACTTAGTGACACTAATTGATATCCTTATCCAAAAATAATTCATACACCACTTCAGGGCTTAACAAATCCCAGGTGTCAGGTCACCATGTCGACTAGAAATTGCGCCCTGGCACTTGGGTTCACACACTGCCACTCTCACTTTGATGGGAAGATGCGCCCCGTAGACTTTGATGTGAAGACGCTCCCCATAGACTTTGATGGGAGAACTCCTGTTAATAGCAATCCTATGTGAATGCTTATCTTCGCATACTACTGTACTCTTACCACTTGTGAAAGCTGGAATTTCCCCTCTAAGCACTAGATGACTACAGTATGTAGTTTAATATTCTCAAACACAGTGAGACTGTTGATCTATGTTGCAGCAGTAAACTGGGAGAGCGTATGTGTGTCACTGACAGCTGCAGTTCTCAGATTAATTGCCATGGTTCTCAGTCATGTGATCACCAGCAGATTGGAGAAGATTGGTTACAAACAAACTGTTCAGCTCACTGTGTGCCTCTCTGTGTGCACTAACTGTGCAGACAGAAAGAAATACAGTATTAGAAATCATTACAGTGTGTAAACTTAACAAATATTAAACAAATTAACATTTTTATTGTAAATGTATGCATAAAATGACCAAAAAAGCTATTTTTTAACCTTTATCTACCATGTAGTAGGGATACAGAAATGCATTTGTTTAAACCACAATGAAATGAAAGTTATTTTGCAAATAATATGGAGAACACTGTGTTGTATTTGGAAATTATGTAGATACCCAAATAAGTGATGCTTATTCATTTAAAGTACCAGTTGAGAGCTGGAGTTGCACATTGCCTACGTATCTTTAACCACTTGCCTACCGGGCACTTATACCCCCTTATTTACCAGGCCAATTTTCAGCTTTCAGCGCTGCCGCACTTTGATTGACAATTGCGCGGTCATGCAACATTGTACCCATATGAAATTTTGATCATTTTTTTCTCACAAATAGAGCTTTCTTTTGGTGGTATTTAATAAAAAAATTGCTAAAAATTTGAAAAAAAAAAAAAAAAGTTTCTTTGTTTCTATTATAAAATTTTTCAAACAGGTAATTTTTCTCCTTCACTGATGTGCGTTGATGAGGCAGCACTGATGGGCACTGATAGGCAGCACTAATGAGGTGGCACGGATAGGCGGCACTGATAGACAGCACTAATGAGGTGTCACGGATAGGCGGCACTAATATGCAGTACTGATAGGCGGCACTGATAGGCGACACTGATGATGGGTACTGATAGACGGCACTGACTGGCATCACTGCTGGGCACTGACTGGCGGCACTGACTGGCACAACCGCTGGGCACTGACTGGTGGCACTGACTGGCAGCACTGCTGGGCTGCACTGGTGGGTGGCACTGGTGGGCAGCACTGGTGGGTGGGCACAGGTGGGTGGCACTGGTGGGCACAGGTGGGTGGCACTGGTGGGCACAGGTGGGTGGGCACAGGTGGGTGGCACTGCTGGGCACAGGTAGGTGGCACTTCTGGGCACAGGTGTGTGACATTGCAGAGTGGCACAGGTGGGTGCACTGCTGGGCACAGGTGGGTGCACTGCTGGGCACAGGTGGGTGCACTGCTGGGCACAGGTGGGCGGAGCTAGTGGGCGCACTGCTGGGCACAGGTGGGCGGAACTTGCGGGTGGCACTGCTGGGCACCGATCATCAGGGCACTGATCATCAGTGCCCTGATGATCGGTGCCGATCCCCGCTCTGACAACTGCCGGTTCTCGGCAGTACTTTCCTCACGATCTGACAGCGTGAGGAAAGTGCAGCCGAGAACCGGCACTTGCATTTCCCTCTGATCAGCGTGTCTTTGGACACCGCTGATCAGGTGGTAAAAGGCCGCTGTGATTGGCCTTTTACCACATCACGTGATCAGCTGTGTCCGTAGGACACAGCGATCACGGAGATCGCTGGGTGCGCGCCCCCTGGGGCGCGCAGGAGAGCGCGTTCTGGGAGGCCGACATATGACGTCCACCCAGAACTGGCCGTCCGCAGTGCAGCCGTCATTCGGCTATCTGCGGTCGGCAACAAGTTAAAGTGCATCAAAAACCAAACATTTAAAGCCCATTTAAAGATATTTAAAAAATATCCACCCTTGCAGTGGGGCCCTTGCACATTTCCCTTTCAATAATTTGTTTGGGCCAAGGTTGGCCAAACAATCTATTTCCATTGCTAACTGGGGTGGCTGCTGTGTATTTTGTAATATACTGCATTAGCTACATACAGTAAGCAGTGCTGTGTTCCAGCAGCAGTACAGTGACTTCCCGCCAGTAGAGGTGGACTATTCTACCATTCACGAGAAGCCTTGTATTTTTAGCAGTGAATACAAGACTTTCTCTGCTTGGCTTATGTGGAGAGATGGGCGGGTGATGCCACGATTTTGAAAGAAGTGTGTTTCCCCCCCCCCCCCCCCCCCCCAAATTATACTTCCCTAGGTGGATGCTGCATTAGTGCCCTGCCATCTCTAAGGGTAATCACATGACCACTCATCGCTGAGTTCTCACTGCCACTGTGAGCAAAGAGTGATGACTGTCTGTCACTGTTGTCTGCTCTGTCCCCCCCTTGTGCTCACTGGAGCGCTGGGCTTTGGAGGGGGTGGGAGTGGCTTGCTCAAGCTCTCAGCAGATCGCTGAGAGGCTGAGCCAGGTGCCGCTCCAAACTCTGGGGTGGTTCCTGACTTTATATTCCAATGGTTTTTATTAATTTTTTAAACATTATAAAACAGAGGCAATAAAACTCGCCCACACGGGCTATCAATTGCACAGAAAAAAAAAATGCAATATAAAAGAAAAACAGTGCTCTAACGCCAACAGGGCAAAAGGTACGCCCACGCAGGGGCTATCAATGGCACATAAGGAACAAAACATTAATGCAACTGACTAACAACTAAAGGCAGCTGTCCAGTCACACCAAAAACAGAGAGAGAGAGAAAGGGGAAAAAAAAAAGGGAGGGGGGCAATAAGCAGGGGTCCAAGAGTGCCAATATCGAACGCCATTACATCCCCAGGCTAGCTGGGGGAGTGTGGGAAAGGCATATTGCAACCACGGCTCCCATATTTTCAAAAATTTACGGTGGGAGTGGTTCCTGACTTTAAAGCCGTGATCTTTCCCCAGGCTGGACCGCCTGACTGACATCACCTGACAGCGGGCTTTAACCCACTGTCGGCTGAGAACAGGTCACAAAAGTGCAGAATGAACTGCACTCCTGTGATCCACAGAAGTACATCCAAAAGAGCTTTGGCTGTACTTCTTTAACCTCGGCCAGTCAGAGGAATCCTTGTACTGACTGATCTAAAGACAAGGTTCCTCAAGGATGGTGGAGACGTACTCAACCTAACTCTAATTCTGACAGGAGGTTGTCTGTACTGCTGCCTGGACACAGCACCGCTTACTTTATGTAGCTGATGCGCACACAGCAGTTGCATCAGTTAGTAATGGAAAAAGTTTGTTTGAGCCAGCTTGGCCCGACTGGACTATTTAAAGTGCTTTGAAAACTGGTAATTCTACTTTAAATGCTCTTTATGCCTAGGGGTGCATGAAAATGGTGTAAATACTTGCCTTTTTCCTCACTCCAGCAGGGTCCCTAAAGTGCTGCAACCAGTCCCCCGCAGCCTGCTCTATAAGCTGCAACAGAAGTGAGTTACATATTCTTTAAATGCCCAACATTGCATGATTTGCCTTATACAGTTCTTGCATGCCAATGTATGAGACAATGGTGAAGAAGTGTATGGAACTGATAGCAGCATGTATGGGCACATTTTTGTTGCTGTTTTGCGTGTTTTACCACTTGTGTATTAACCCTTCACCTATACACTGGATTGGATGGATTATGAACAATCATTAGAAAAGTTCAGCTATAAGAAGATGTCCATATCTGTAAGATTTGGTGGGTGCAAGCTGGATTTCTGGAACACATTCATTTCCTACCTTCGTAGCTCACAGTCACCTTTTTTTATATATACAGTGCATTCATAAAGTATTCAGACCCCCTTCATGTTTTTTATGTTGCCTGATACTACAGTTTTAGAATTTTAGAAATGTCTGTGAATTTATTAACTACTTGCCAACCGCAGATAGCCAAATGACGGCTACACTACAGCCGGCCAGTTCTGGGAGGGCGTCCTATGACGTCCTCCCAGAACACACGCTGTCCTGCGCGCACCCGGCGATCTCCGTGATACGGACACAGCTGATCACGTGATGTGGTAAAAGGCCAATCACAGCGGCCTTTTACCACGTGATCAGCCGTGTCCAATGACACACTGATCACTGGGAAATGCAATTGCCGGTTCTCGGCTGCACTTTCCTTGCGGTGTCAGAGCGCGAGGAAAGTACTGCCGAGAACCGGCAGTTGTCAGAGCAGGGATCTGCACCGATCATCAGGGCACTGATGATCTGTGCCCAGCAGTGCCACACACCAGTTCCGCCCACCTGTGCCACCCAGCAGTGCCACCCACCTGTGCCACCCAGCAGTGCCACCCACCTGTGCCACCTAGCAGTGCCACCCACCTGTGCCACCCCACCAGTGCCACCCACCTGTGCCCACCAGTGCCACCCACCTGTGCCCACCAGTGCTGCCAGTCAGTGCCCAGCAGTTGCACCAGTCAATGCCTAGCAGTGCTGCCAGTCAGTGCCCAGCAGTGATGCCAGTCAGTGCCACCTATCAGTGCTGTCTATCAGTACCCATTTTCAGTGCCGCCTATCCGTGACACCTCATTAGTGCTATCCTACTGTGAACTTTTACTTGTGAGCTACTGAAGGGTGCAAATATATATATATATATATATATATATATATATATATATATATATATATATATATATATATATATATATATATATATATAACAATCTATGTACATATAACCAATGTGTCGCAGGCGTCCTTGCTCACCCTCACGTGGTGTGCGTCAGTGAGATAACAAAAAGAAAATTGGGTGCCGCGCTCTATTCATTGTTTTTTTTCTAAAGATTATGCACAATTATTTAAATCAGTATCTATTAATCTCTCTATAAATTATCACCATGAGTAACCATTCATATACTTTGTACCAATAATTATATAAAAAACAAAAAAAATTGTGAATAAAAATAATAAAATAATAACGTGAATTGCAAAAAATAAAAGTCCAACTATAATTTTTGATTTATGAATGAATCCCATATGCACTTGGATGATATCAAATTCCATTTAGATTCAACAGAAAGATGAATGCCATATACTCTCCTTTATATCCTGTGCTGTATAGCTGCAATGGTTAGCAATAGAAGCTGCACTGTGGGTCACTGCAATGGATGAAGTTACTCCTTCCCCAGCACTCCCCTTAACCAAGTTCTCCTCCCATGGATCATAAGGGAAAGAAAAAAAGGTGCATAGTGTTTTATCCAAAAGGTTTTAATAAAGGCTATTAGTACACTCACATGTTGTTAGTAATATATGCGCTTTTGTTATATATACAGCCGCGGGTAGCGGTGGAATCAGCCTCGTTAATGTGCCTACGCACACTGTGAATACTCGCCGTTCTGACTGCGGATGTGTGATGACGTCACTGCCCCTCCCCTACGCGTTATGCTACAGAGACTCGTAGCTTCCTCTGGGGGATGTAGTTTGTTACCTCATTAGTGCTGCCTATCCGTGCCGCCTATCCGTGCCACCTCATTAGTGCTGCCTATCAGTGCCCTTCAGTGCTGCCGATCAGTGCCGCCTATCAGTGCCCATCAGTGCTGCCTCATCAACGCACATCAGTGAAGAGGAAAAATTACCTGTTTGAAAAATTTTATAATAGAAACAAAGAAACTTTTGTATTTTTTAAAATTATTTGCAATTTTTTTGTTTATAGCGCAAAACGTAAAGCGCCCAGCAGCGATTATATATCACCAAAAGAAAGCTCTATTTGTGAGAAAAAAATGATATAAATTTCATATGGGTACAATCTTGCATGACCGCGCAATTGTCATTCAAAGTGCGACACCGCTGAAAGCTGAAAATTGGCCTGGTAAAGAAGGGGGTATAAGTGCCTGGTAGCAAGTGGTTAAAAAGAAATAAAATGAAATATCACATATACTGCAGGGGTGTGTAAATGTTTGAGAAAACTACTTTGCACAAGCTTAACATCATTTTAGGCCTGAAGATTACATAAAAACCCATAACATTATATATTTTCTGAAAGCAGAGAACCTAGACAATAAAATAGTGGTAGTTCCAATTTATTATGTTGCATGATATTACCACAAAATTTCAGTAAAAAATACAAGCAAGTTAATTTTAGGGCACAAAAAAAGCAATAAATTACCCTGTTTTTTGGTAAAATATAAAAGATGAGGTTGCACTGAGTAAATAGATATCCAACTTGTCAAACCTTAAATTTGTGCACGCTTGTGAAATGGCGACGAACCTCAGTACCCTATAATTGCTATAGGTAAATACTTTTAAAGCACCTTATAGGTGATCAGTTTAGCATTACGGAGAAGGTCTGGTGCTAGAATTATTGCTCTCATTCTGGCGTGCGCAGCAATATGTGACGTGTATCACAATTGATGTTTTTCATATGTAGGCACCCCAGCATGTTCTTTTACGTTTGTACATTTGTATATGTAGGGGTGGGGGGCCTCAAATTTTTTTGGGGGGTGGTATGGTATGTGCTTGAGTGTAACTGATTTTTTACAATTAAAAAAAAAAATTTTTTTTTACTTTTGTTTTTTTTTTAATCACATAGGGGAAAAAGTCCTCTATGTGATGATTTTTTTGGTGACAGGTTCAAATCACACCGCATTACATTCTTTCTTTTTTTCACCGCTTCCGTGGCCAGAAATCTCTCAATGAGGACCTAGAAGT